CAAGAAATATTTTTAATCAAGAAAATTAAACTTTTATATATAAAAATCATAGATATTTATTTATTATTTTTTGAAAATATTATTAATGAGGTTATTATTTTAGATGTAACAATCAAAGATCATAATAGCATTGTAATACTTAATGTGATAAGATCTCTTTCCAATCCAATTATTATGGGATTATTATGGTTGAAAAAATATAATCCTCAAATAGATTGGATTTCTTGTAACCTCAACTTTCATATAATTTAATTCAAAATTTTGTTAGTCAAGTAGAAATACATAAGTCTAGTACATCTAAATCTTTATTTATAGGTACAAGAGCTTTCATGCATGTAGCAAAAGAAAGATCATTTTTTGCTATACAAGCTATATTTATTTCTAATAGTAAAAAGACATCAAGTGATATTTCTAGCTAATATCAAGATTTTTAAGATATTTTTGAAAAAATATATATATATATTTTTTTTCTAAAACATTGATCTTTTAATTATTCAATTCATCTTTAAGAAGGAGCTCAATTGCTATTTGGACCAATTTACAACTTATCGCAAAACAAGTTGGTTGTATTAAACGAATGCATTGATAAGAACTTAGCTAAGAACTTCATACATCATTCAAAATCTCTAGTAGAAGCTTCTATCTTATTTGTGAAGAAAAAAGATAGATCTCTACAAATATTCATAGACTATTAAGGACTTAAGAAGATTACTATCTAGAATAGATATCTTTTATCTTTGATTTTAGAATTTTTTGATCAATTTAATTAAGCAAAGATCTATACAAAAATAGATCTATAAGGATCATATAACTTGGTCCGCATTTAAAAATTAGAAGAATAAAAGACTACTTACTAAATTAGATATGAACATTTTGAATATAATGTCATGCTTTTTGGGCTTACAAAAAAACTAGTTGCTTTTTAACATCTTATAAATGATGTTTTTTTATGAATTTCTTGATGATTTTATCATTTTTTAAAAATAATATTTTAATCTACTATAAGAACACAAAAGAACATAAACTTTATATTGGTCATGTCTTACAAAAACTTAAAAATTTAGGATTATATGCCAAGATAGAAAAATATGTATTCTACACTACTTAAATTAACTTTTTAGGATATATTATTTCTAATGAAGGCATTGTGAGGGATCCAAAGAAGGTTCAACCTATTACTGATTAGAAGATTCTAAAAACAATTAAAGATGTATAACATTTTTTGAAATTTGCCAATTATTACTAGATTTCTATTAAGAAATTTTATCAAGTTCAGGTTCTTTTTACATGTTTGATTATAAAGACAAATTTGAGTGGAATAAAGAAAATAAAGCATTTTATAAAGCTTCAAAGACTATATTTATTTTTGTATCAATTTTGTATTGCATAAACTTTTTTAAGGCATTTTTCATAGAAATAGACTCATTACACTTTGTTATAGATGTAATTTTTTCATAAATAGGAATGGATAAAAAGCTTCATCTACTAGCTTTTTATTCCAAGAAATTTTTAACAACAAAGATTAACTACAAGATTCATAACAAAGAATTTCTTATAATCATAGATTATTATCAATGTTGATATTATTATCTAAAAAGAACTTCTAATCTAGTCACCATATATATGGATTACAAGAACCTTGAATATTTTATTGTGGCACATATTTTGAATCATTGCCAAGCCTGTTGGAACATATCTTTATCAAGATTTGATTTCAAGATCTCTTATAAATCTAAAAAATAATAAGCTTTGTCATACACCTTTTTAAACATTCTTATTTTGCACCATAAGAAGAAGATACATTCTTTGATCAATAAAAAATAATTTTCTTGCAGCTAGAGCATTTTCATCTTCAAGCAATGAAATCAACATTGATTGTTGATTTAACATTTTTCATGCAAATTCAATTGAATATGTCTTCTAATCTTCTTATTTATGATATTAAGAATAATTCTTTTAAGTTTCATAATACTTCTAAGTTTAAATTGAAGAATAATCTACTCTATTTGAAAGGGCAATTACACTTTTTAGAAGGGGAAGTATGATTATATATTCTTCAAGTTTGTTATGACTTTCCAATCATCAGATATTTTGGATATAACAAGACTTTAGAGCTAATATCTAGAGATTTTTGGTGGTTTCAAATGTGGAAGTCAATTAAAGACTTTGTACAATTATGTAACATTTGTTCAAGATCAAAAACTCCTTGTTATTGATCTTATGGACTTCTTCAACTATTATCTATTCTGTAATAACCATGGTCATCTATTTTTATGGATTTTATTGCATATCCTCTAGTCTCAAGTTTGTATGATTTTATATTTGTGATAGTAGATTATTTTACCAAGATAGCGCATTTTATACTATATACAAAATTCATCACATGTGAAGAAAAAAAATAAGTTTTTCTTTGTTAACATCTATTGCTATCATTGATTGCCTGAGGATATTATATTAGATATGAGGACTCAAGTTGTATCAAGTTTTTGGAGAATCTTTTTTAAATTTCTAAAGATGGACATAAAGTTATCTTCAACCTTTCATCCTCAAACTAATGGACAGATAGAACATGTAAACCAAGTTTTTGAGTAGTATTTAAGGTGAACCATCAATTAACAACAAGATGATTGGATGAATCTTTTACCATTGATAAAGTTTGCTTAAAATAATACAATACATTCTTCTATGCAATAAATATTTTTTTTGTTAATTATGGTTATCATCCATAATTTGATGCTTTTGACCTCTCAAAAGTTAATAATTATGCTGAAAAAGATTTGAAAAATTGTTACAAAAAAATTGATAAAACTAATTCTTACATCATCTCAAATAATAGCCTTATGATGAATCATAAAAAATTCAAACTATCATAGATTAGAAGGTTCCAAGTATGATAAGAGATATATAATGTTTTTCATAATTTTCCAATTAATATTGAATTATTATCAAGAACTTTTTTTAAATTGCAACTTTATTTATACTTTTGACTTATAAAGACAAATCTAAGTCAAATAAAGAAACTGAAGTATTAATAGTAATTAATAAATTAATTTTTTAATATTTTTTAATTTCTTTAATCTAATAAATATATATATATATATATATAAATTAATAGAATTTTATGCAATATTTTATATTTTATTTAAATAAAAAATAATTATCTATATTTTTAAAATCATAAAATATAAAAAAAATATTTTAAAAAAATTTAAAACTCCATATGTAGCTTTTTATATGTTTATTTATATACATACAAAAAATGAAGAAATAAGAAAAAAGGTAAAGCTCAATAGTTTAGATTCACAACAAGTTTTTAAGAAATCATCCATAAAATCAGTTTTGTAACAACTCTACAAATTGCCAATTTCAAGTAACTCTCTTGGATTGCTCATCATAATTGTGATCATGTCAACAATCAAATGAAGAAAACTTAAAAGAAACGCTCACACACAAATCTAGAAAGCAAGGTGCTTCGAAATGGCATACGAGCTTCAAAAAACAAAAAAAGAAAAAAGGAAATGGCATACGAGCATTTCTTGTTGGCGTTGACTATACGAACCTTCCTCGAAAGAGCCGGAACCATCCACAGTTGACCTTGACCATGTCGGAACGAGCTCGGCCGACACTTTCTCCCCTTGCAGCGTCGATGTCCCCGAGGCCAAATCAGCGTGCCGTGGTACCACTAGATTCGCCCAGCTAATATGCTTACACGCTTGTTGCGGCAACCAACCCTCGCAAGCGGTCAAGGAGAACCCACCGCAGTTGTTAAGCGTCTGTTGATAGGCATCGATTCGCGTTTGAAATCACGAATAATGCTGAGAGTCTCACGTGAGCAGCCCTTCGTCCACAATCCCATCGTCGCCGTCCCGGATGTGACAACCATGGAAGTCCTGTCGCAGTTCTCGTCCCAGCAGGATTTTGTGTAGGAAGTCTGGCTTCCATTTCTCACTGCTGGAAGGTTCATGCGCCACCGCAACCATGGTCAGTTATCTATTTATTGTTATTGCGGTGCATCAAATAGGGTGTAAACATGGCGGCAGCGATGGTTGTGGCTTTTGTGATACAAGTGTTTGAGCATCACTTCCATGGGCGAACTTGCCCTCCTAGCGTCCCGGCGCGTAGACGAATGCCGAGAGTGTTGAGCTTCCCATTGTTTGGTGAATGTCTGGCTCCTACTAAGGTTTCTCCCTGTTCGGAACCCTGTCGACGGGAGGCTTTGTTGTACTGGTGGAGGGAAGAAAGAGCATTACCGATCCAAATTTTTATACTTTACATTAATTTTTTTAACACAATGGGGTAAACCCAATGCTTCGAATCAGTTTAAGACTTCCCGGTTCAATTTCGGACCTGCTTTGTATAGATATTTTATCAGGAACGGCGAGTGGCTAGGGTTGACACATGGCGACGAAAATTGTTGTTACAATGCCGGAGTGGGAAGGACCATTAGCGACCTAAATAACTACACTCGTTGCTAATTTTCTCTGTCTCTCTTGAACCCTGCAACTCCGAACTCGCCCATCCCTGCAGTTTGGTGGTTCCCGCAATTTCACGGACACAAGGATTCATTGGGGAGGACCCTGTGTTGTGATTGGTGCTAATCCTCCGCGTATGCGTGAAAGTGCTTCGTGACGCACGGTTGTAAGGTTTTTGGAGATGGGTACGTTGAGATCAGTTTCACTTTTGCAGCGAAGTGGGCTTCTTGGCAAAGGACACGTTGATGGACGACAAACATCCTCGTCAGAATCCGACATGTACACCACACTTCTTAATTTTCGCCTTTGTTGCAACCCGAATTTTTTTACCTTGTAAAGATTACTGTTACGTAATTTTTGGTAGGCCCGATCCACGGTGTACAGGCATTCCCACAGAATAACGCCCTCCTCACGCCAGTCAAGCTGTTTAACATGCAAGATTTGGAAATTGGAAAAATTTGAAGATGGGTGTGACGTTTCAGTGAAATCTAGTGGAGAAGGGAGTTTTGTCGTGTGAACATAAGAAGCACCAGCTGGGCGTGATCGCGCCACAAGTAATCCACCGATGGAGCTCCGCCACCCACATGGTCCACCGCAATTACGGGACCTGCGATTGAAGTCCAGTTTGCAGTCCCGCACAGATCCTCATATCTTCACTTCGGAGTGAACGTTTTCGAGGTTGCTTGCGTCTTCAACCCTAATTTTTTTTAACCCTTAACTTGTTTTTTCGACGAATAGTGGAGTAATTTGTAGTGCAATTCACAACCATGGCCATGGCGATGTTAGCTTCGCCGTCTCTGTCTTCAGTGTGCAGTAATAGTGGGCGTACCCCGGCGGTTTCTGGGCGGCAGCAGCAGCAGCTGCCTGGAGCTTTTAGTCCAAAGACGAATGGTGATCAATTGGCCAGGCGAGGAGTTTCCGTGCGAGCACAGCAAAAGCGAGGGTCTTCTGGTATGTCTCGACGCAGAGATTGGGTTGCAGGAGATTTAGATATGTGGGATTTTTGAGCTCATGTCCATTCTGTGCTGCAAGTGAGTGATGCGAGGCATGCGAGTATTGCAAGGGGGAAGAGATTCGTCTTATGGTTGAAATTTTGACTCTATTCTGCTTGCAATGAGAGTGTTTACCAGAATCAACCCTCTCATATTCTAATTTTTGCAATGCTGCAATAATTAATTCACTCTTATTCTTCTTTCGATGATTTTATCCTTTCGAAGCTACAGCCGAATGGATACTCGGATGGCAAGATATGAATTTCGATGTACCTCGTATTCTCATATTTTTCAATGAACTATGTTTTCTAGAATTCGTCAGCTTAGAACGGACGTTAAATCGATATCAACTGCTTGTCGGATAAGATTGAAGCAAGTGTGCTCCGGGTTATATTGTTGAGAGGTTCCCAGTTTTCTTCCGAAATAATTTTAGTTAAACAACCCAAATTTTTTCAACAAATTCTTAGGCAGAATATAGAGTAGGGGGTTGAGCTTTTATTTAGTCATTGCCAGTCAGATCTTGGTTCGGTTTAGGTTTTCTATATACTCGTGGAACAAAGTAGAGAGTTCGTCATTGTGGATGGACGGTGCTGTGAATTGAGATTGTAGGAGTTGCTAATGAGGAGCTTCATGCGACAAACTTCTGTGATGTGAGTATAAAATGAAACCGTATTTTGTAATTTTAAACGAACCGATTTTGTGTCGCCGATGTTGTTCCTTGCAGGGGATCCTGAGAGTAAGCAGCTATTGGATGCCTTCTTTTTGGGTAAAGCTCTTGCAGAAACTGTTAGTGAGCGTATTGGTAGTCTAGTGGGCGAGCTTTTAAGCGATGTCGGACAACGACAGGCTGAACAGCAAAGACAAATTCGTGAGTTCCAGGTAAGTGGTCTTGGAGCAGATACACTTTCTTCCTCACTGCCAAATCACCGAATGCTCATCTTCCAAATTTAACTTCCCCCATCTTACTCTATCAGACACTAACGTTCAAACATGTCCACTAATCACTGTATTTTTCTCTAATGGTCACAGAATGAGGTGCAAGAGAGGGCAAAGTCTGCATCAAGGAAGGCAGCACAGAAAGCCCTGGCCACGGACAACACTGTGTCGGTAGCAGCAGCTACTCAAGTTTCTCCAGTCACTTACGATGACGAACCAAGTGGAAATATTGTAACAGAGAGCACAACCAGCGCCACTGAAGGTGCCAATGGACTCCCTACTCTACCGTATGAAGATCTTCCTCCCCTAGATTCTCAGTCTGATAACACTACTGCATCCTCCCAGAAGGATACACCAGACTTTTAGATTCCGTTCGTTTTCAATCGCTTCAGATTCCATGATGTATAGTCAAACGTGCAGTACAACTTAGAGCTTTCACTTCTCACACAATCCTGTGCTTTTCAAACATGTTTTTTTGTCAGTTCTGCATATGAATTGGTGTGTTGCAAGGGTTTTGATCGCCAAAATGCTGCAGATTGAATTTTATCCGCTGTTGTTCAAGTCTTAGTACCGTTCTTCAGTCTTTCATTGATTAGTTATCTAACCTCCAATTTTTTGTGATCGTACTAATTCAGCATGTGGAACGCAATCTATATTTATGTTCAAGATTCACACTTAGATGTGTTTGCAGAGCTGCCTGAACTATACATTTGGAACAAGAAACCAAGGCAAAGCCTTCATTTTAATTTAGTTCTTATGTCAATTGTTGGATTGTGAAAAGGTGAATGCTAAACACAAATTCCGATCAGGAAGGAATAACAAAATGTGTAGAGTAGGGATTGGGAGAAGAGCTGAATACATTGATATTCAAAAATGCCTAATTTTCATGTTTACGCACATACATGCAGTGTGGATATTCCTAGACAACGTCTAATTATTTATGTATGTTAATAATCATGATAAGACAATTCTTTGTGGTTTTTGGTATGACAAATGCATGTAGCAGAACACATCGTCACATTTATATTTATTATTATTCTTATAATCACAAAATCAAGTGCATAATGTAACTTGTAAATCAACCAAGAATTACACTACTTTATATTCAATGAGAAGTGATAATTGATTCATCTATCTATTTATTCAATTTTTTTATGGTTAAGTAATAAAATACACTATCAATATCAATGTCTAATTTTATTTATTTTAAATTCTAAACAATGTCAAATATTAGTGTCATAGATATGAATATTACTTAGATAACTAGAACAATTCATAAAAACAAGCTTTAAAAGTTAGGTAGATATATGTACATGAATATATACATATACATTTAAGTGAAATATTAAAGAAGACTTGTAAGTATTAAAATTGATAGACTTATTAATTGATTTATCCTTCTTTATAGACTACAAGCCTTGTAGTCCTTAATGAACTTCTTTATAGACCTCTTACTTAGTGAATATATTAAGGGAAGTTTGAGATTGTCTTTAAACTTATTAACACATGTTTTATATATTAGTCTTGATTTTAAAGTCTTTATTTATTTTATTTACTTAAAAATATCTATTCCAAAAATACATACATACATATATATATATATATATATATATATATATAGTTTATCTTCTAGTCTTAATTGTATCCATGTTAGTTGTTATTTGATGAATATTTGCAAGTTTATATTTTTAACAATTTAAAAAGATTAAAAATTATATTTTTAATATTACATCTTTTAAAATTAAAAACTAATATAATTTTATGATTTAATTTTTTTAATAAACAATAGATCATAATCTTTTAAAAAGTGATTATCTTTAAATTCAAAAAAAATCTATTCTTAAAGTAGTTTTATTAATATATATTGTTATTAATATATATATATATATACAAATAAAGAATGTTATAAAATAACTATAAGAATAAATAGATATTTTAAAAAATAAACTTTATTTAATATTAAAACCAATTTTTAGAATAACTAATTTTTACTATAGAGACAAAGACAAGAAATTTAGAAAAAGCAAGTATAAGAAAAAATAATTTATCAAATATGAAATACAACTAGGTATAACACTAGGAATAAGGTCACAATTGAATTACTCTAAAAATTGCATTAACAAGACTAGATGTCCCTTAAAATATTCTCTTATTTAATTTATGGCAAATAAATTCTGTAAAAGCTTCTATAAGAAGCTCTAATATTTTAAGAATATTCTAAAAATCTTTTGTGAAACTTTTAGAAACAAAAAATAACTTAATAGTTATAGAAGACTATAAAATGTTCTAGAGTACTGAAAAAGATACTTGGAAAGTTCTAAATAAAATTGGAGGATTTTAGAATCGTATAGAATGTTCTAAAAGATTTTCAAAAAATGATCTAAGGTTCTCCATGATTCTAAAAGATTTTAAAAGTGTTTCAAAAGATTTATCAACTCAGCACAATTTTTCATTAAACTCTACTTGCATTCTCTAATTGCATTTATAGATAAATAATTAATCTAAAAAGTATGTTTTTAGAATTTAATTAAAATCCATTTAATAAAAAAATCTAATAGATCTAATTTATCTTGATTATAGTATAACTTAAAAATTAATTCTAATATTAAAAATAATAGATCTATTTTTAATAATACTTTTATATTTATATAAAAAATAAAAATAAAAAACTTTTGTAGAAACCAATGAGATCTATATCTTCATTCAAAAATATATATGCTTCAAAATTTAAGACCTACTAATTGATGTACAATAAAATGATATTTTTTTAACAATCAATTTTTTTATAAAATTTTATATAAAATAATAGAATTTGTGCTCAATTTTGCTTAATGTTTTGGGATTGAGCCAAATAATTGATTTTTTTGAAATTTAAACAATTAAATTTTGTGTTATATTTTATATTTTATATTTTTTTAAAGATTTTTTTAATATTTTTTAAATAAAGTATCTTATAAAATTTAATATTTAAATTAATGTTATATATTTAAAATATCTTAAAAATAAAAAAATTATAAATAAAAATAATATCAATAAATATCTAGTGATTATTTTACAAAGAGTTTCAACATGTTGTTTGAATTTTTTTGAATAAGTGTCAAATTTTCAAGGAAAAGAACTTAAAGAAGATACATAAATAAATAAGATTTGTATTAAAGAGAGATGACAAAACAGAAGTAAAACTTGCAAGAGAAGTTTAATATATCACTTTAAAATTATTTTATATTATTTTTAAAATTAAATTTTTATGTATTAATATAATTTCATTAAAAATATATAGATTTAATAATAATTTTAATTTATTTATTTTCACTTTAAAATTATTATATAATGTTACATTTTTATAACCTTAAATTTTACAAATTGGACATTTTATAAACTTATATATTTTCTAATACATCTATAAATAAAAATAAAAAATTATATGTCAATGAAAAAAAAATAGACATCTCTACTTGCCACAATAAGAGAATCTGCTCATATATCAATAGAAAAAGAATTAAAATAAACAAATAATTTTTCAATG